CATATATACCATCAAAACAGTGTACATCACTGTCACAACAGCGTTTGTTTTCATTCAAAGGCTTTATGATTTTTCCTATAATGGTGGGTCGGACAGTCAAAACGCCCGGGCCGATTTTTTGTCCCAGTCCAGCCCTGTATGCAGCTCATCTGCAATCTGGTGTTACCTACATCTTCCTATTCAGAAGGCAGAATTTCCGAGTTCTGAGTACAATCGAAAAACACCACGACTGCAGTTTTTGTGTTGGATGTAAAAAGCGCACATGACGCTGTGGCGTAGGCTAGAATCATGTTGGCGATCAACGACGGTCCAGGCGTGGGATTTCTCTCGTGGAAATATGCACATTATCTTTTCCTTTCTATTGGTAGGTGGCACAGTGCACTTGTGGTAAGTAAGCAAGCTAGAAGACTGGCAATCTCGCTGGGTATCCAGTCACAGAAGCAACACATTAACAAGAGAATTCTGAGTAAAACCAAAGTTACTTTCCCTAGTAACTAGTTACTTTGAAAGTAACGAGTAACTTGAAGTAACTGAGTTACTTTTGAAAGCGGTAACTAGTAATGTAACTAAGTTACTAATTTAAAGTAACTTACCCAACACTGCAGGTGACTGATAAAGAGTGAGTGTTGGGCACCACTGAAGCATAGAATTTGGGTCTAAAACACACTCTTTGAAGTTGTAACACAATTAGAAGATACTGATTTTATTTTTGCTTGTTAGGCAAACTGAAGTTTTCTGTTGTGGGCAAACAATGCAAGGAAGGCCTGATTTACTCTCTGAACAATACTTTCAAATGATTTCTATCTGTAGTCAAAAGTTATAAAAAGTTCAAATCGAAGCAGCAGAAACTTCAGTTGCAGGATGGCCCCTGGCCCACGCACCTGCCATCTCCACACCTGCTACCTATCTTTGTAATCCCGAGCCCTACTTAAGATGGCAGCACGGTGCTACTCGTCGCTGGATCGTTGAGCTATCAGTGTCAGTCCCCCTGCAGTCAGAAAATTAGAATCTGTGAGTTTCTTTCTGTCAGTCTGTTTCTAACTGGAGTTTCTGTGTACAGATCTTTCCCGGACCCGCCTGCGAGCCAGTGTGTGGTGTGTACGAGCTTGTGGTGGAGAGAGGAGAGAAATTTGGAAACGTTTGGAGTCTGTTCGATCCCCCTCCTTTTCCCTCACGGACCCTGGAACCCTGGACCTCCTCCCTTCCCCCCACTTGTACATGTACATATTATCACCTGGTGTTGTCTTATTGTAAATAAATTCACTGTCTTCCTTGCAAGGATCTCTGGTCTGCACGTGAGTCCGTTTACACCCCGTGACAGTAAAAAGACAAACTCGAAAGAGCATACGCAACAAGAAAAGCTCTCCTGGTCTGTGTGCAGTAGAGTAGAAACACAATCAAACATGGACACAAGTCACTTCAATACTCAGGTATTGTATAGATCACTTCTACCATGAACACCCTGTTTGTTGTGAGAGGAATACATTACTTGCAAAATAGGTAATGCATTATATGAGAACTAACATAAAGTGTCATGTAGTGCTAATCTGTTATGATATTTCAGTATTTATTAGTGGTTTATTATAAACTTGTCATAAATGTGAATATTCTTAACCATCCTTGTTTACTTTGGTATAACTGTGACATAAACATACGCCAGTAAACACACTGATTAATTGGTTAACGATTATTACTGAATAAACAATAGCTATACTTCTCACAGTGTTACACAGGTCAAAATTCAAACTAGTCTTGAACGATCAATCCATTCACACTCACATTCACAGCTACAGCCAGTTTACAATCATTAATTAACCTAACATCCATTTCTTTGGCTGTGGAGGGAAGCTGGAGGACATGGAGTAAACCCACTCAATTGCTGGGAGAACATGTAAACTTCACACACAAATGTCCCAGCTGGTTGGTGGATTAGAAACCAGGCATTCTTGCTGTGAGGCAACTGTGCCATCCCTAGTTTTATAACAACTGATTTCACAAAAATCAGCAAACATCACTGTTTATGTGCAGCAGCCAAAGCTGAAAGCACAACAGGGATGTCTTATCCAGTTTTACCTTCTACTGGCTGTGATAAAAAATGGGAGCAAAAAAGGAAGCAAGGTGATTGCAGAGCCACAAAGATTTTAAAGAGAGGAGGTCAGGGTGGATGGACGAGTTGACAAAACACTGGGCAAGCGCAGATAAAGAAGATTGTTTCCCAATTCGAATCAGCATTGCTTTAACTACAATTCCCATAAGTCTTTCTTGAAGTAGGTTCTTTTGGGTTCTTTTATTTTTTTTTTAATTTGTTTTATGGGGGAATGGGGAAGAACAACTCATATTAATTTAAGTGATCATTAGGACATGCAGCTGAATTAAAAATTATGTAAACAGATTTAGTTTAGCCCAGAAGAAGGTAAACAATTTATTTTAAAATTGACATCTTTTCTGTGATAACAAATCGATTATCACCAGTCAGTTAAAACTCACTGAAAAGTCCTGTGAACCTCTTCTGTGCACATGTGCCCAACAACATGACTTTTTGGGAGTAGGGGCAGGGTGACACCATATCTGCTATTACAGGAGTCTCCCATAGCCCTGAGGATTCTTTGAGTGCCATGTCTCCTACATTGTTAACCTGGGTATCAGCTGTTAAATGCTGGGCAGGTGGTGTACAGCAGGTCCACAGCTTTTCTATTATTATTTCTCTTAGGTTTTGGCACTTACTTGCATTTAACAGCTCACAGAAACAATTGACATGTGATCGGTTCAACATATCATTTGGGAATGGAAAACCTTATGAGGTTAACCAACAGGGAGCTATTCAGAGTAGTATTTACATAATGACAAATGACAACAACAGTCATCTCAAGGTAATGTATTGCATTGTAAGGTAAAGCTCCTACAATAATACAGACAAACCCCAACAATCAGATGGCCCCCTATGAGCAAGTAGTCCCTTTTATCAAGAAGAAACCTCCGGCAGAACCAAGCTCATGGAGCCATCTGCTCACGGGAAGAAGACAGGACAAAAGACATGCTGTGAAAGAAAGGCAGAGATTAATTACAACTAATGATTAAATGCAAAATAATGTACAAACACATAAAGGGGTGAGTGAAAAAAAAGTGATCAGTCCGTTAAAGGAAGCCCCCAGCAGCCTTAGCTCTGGGAGGGTTCAGGGTCACCTGATCCAACCCTAAATAGTCCTGAAGAGGGCTTTAAAACTTACCTATTACATTTCTAATAATACTTTCCAAATTCTGTAAAACCCAAATATTGAGCTACATTTTGTCACTTTTCACAATACACATGCAATTTGAGCCATGTTTAAAATATTATTGCAAATGGATAAACGGGAAATAACGGGAAGTATTAATGGAAAATTCTGGAAATACTTTGATGATCGTCTGATCGCCTTTTAACTGAAACAATAAAATCTAAAAGACTAGTCTACTTTTATTATTATTGTTATGATTGACTTTTATTGAGCTTCACTCACCTTCTGATAAATTAGGCTATAAAACAGTGGATTTGCAGAGTGTGTGGTGCTGATGCTGTCCTCTCTGCCTCTGCCGCACCTTCTCCCTCTCCTTCTCCTCCTTTTCCAGGGTGCCCTGTCTCCTCCTCTTGGCACCATCCACTCTCGCATCGTCGCTGTATTGGCTGCTGTTTTGTATTTCGTGTTTACTCGCAGGACGACCCCTCCCACGGTAACATGTAACCCGAGCTTCAGGTGTACAATTCTGCTCGGCACCTCTCCGTGGATTGCTCAGAGGGTTGAAAACGATGCGCTTTGTTGCGAAAAGCTCCAAGTTGCTTTTGAAAGACTCGTGAAACTGGACCCGGTCGCCCCCCAAAAGAGCGGGTCTGGATAACGGCACGATGATTTGAACGGGCAGCGATGTGGATGTAAAGGTGAGCTGGGTTTATGCTGTGCGTCTGCGTTTTGGTTCCTTCAAAGTCGCAAAAAAGCCGGTTAATATTGTTCTGCTGAGCCGTGTGTGGGGAAAAGAGCATGAAGGATAAATAACTGATTAACTCAGGCGAGCATTGTAGATGAATAAGTATGGCAATAATGTAGACCCACGGTCACGTTTCTATATTTTTAAACTATCTTTTTCAAGTTTTCTGTGCATTTAATATAGTTTTTGCAGTAATTTTTTAAGATTTGTAACTAAAAATCAGGTTTTTGTTTAAGTAAAATAAAATCTTATTTAGAAAATATATTTGTAAGGCTTGATTATGGATATACATTTAAACGTATATCCAAAGTAGCTAAATACATTTCTGTAACAAATAATAAATACAAAAATACAAGTGAACGGGATTATTTTCTTCACTTTTTTATTAACATGTCTGGGTTTTCAAATTGAAATTAGGTTTGCAAAAGGTGGCACAAGAGCCTGTAAACACAGAATGATTGGCACTGCAGCGTAAGAAATTATTTAAATGTTTGTTGATTATCACATTAATTTCTGTCAGTTGTTTAGTGATTGCTTGGCTGTCTCCTCTCTGAATTGACTTCATTTATTTTTTTTCTCCCGTGCCTCTCTGGTATTAATCCGCTCTTGCTTTACTGCTCATTTCTTTAAATTACCATTATGAGAGAAATTTATCAGGGAAAACAGCTGCTTATGGTGATTTGAAGAGTTGTGTATCCGAATTATTCAATGACTCTTGATTAACATAATAATTAATAATAGTTCTGACTTATTCTTGGTGTTTATATTATCTGGTACCTTGTTTTCTGAATGGATGAAAAAGTCTACATAGATTTACTGATGCATTTGTTAAAATTGAGGGGGCAAGTAGAAAATAACAATTGGAAAAAAACATATACTAATCTGTTTTCTTTATGTGTACAATGTGATACTAACCTGTAAACAGATGCATTATTACAAAAGATGTGGTCTTGTGAGCAGTGAAGTAAGCAGACTGTATTTGTATTGGTGGGGAATAGGGGAGGAGTGTTACTGCTGAGCACATATCAGGTTACACTTGTTCCACTCTTTACTACCAGTTGTCATGTATGGGTGATGCCAGCAGCAATCATTGTTGTATTCAAATGTGGATTATAAATTATTTTTAGAGTTGCATGCATGTCATGCCTTTACCTATTTTATCCATTTCCTTAAACAGTCTTACTGTGTGTTCCTCTTGTCATCTCGGTGCCTTTAAAAAAAAACTTTAAATAAAAAACACTTTATTCTGATATCGTCATCTACTATGTGTATTTTTATTCTCAGGTAGTATAATGCATTAATTTCTAGTGTCTTTCTCTTTCACCTTTCTTGTTTTGTCTCTTCAAGCTGTAGACTATCTGAGGATTATAAAACTGACATGTGTACACCTAATGAGACGGTAACCTGAGGTCCATCCTGAGGAAAAACCAGGATGCATTCCATTACCTTGGAGCTTTTAGGCAAGACCGATGTCAGGGGTTGCTGTAATCCCTCTGCTGCAGGAGTGCTGTTCCTGCTGTGTCTTGGCTTCCCTCCCTCTATGGCCGCTTGCCCACCTTCCTGCCTTTGTGCCAGTGATATAATTTCCTGCAGCGGATGCAATCTGTCTGTGGTGCCCTTTGATCTACCAGGTTATGCCACACGGTTGGACCTTAGCCACAACAGACTCACTGCCCTGCATGTGGGCTGGATTTCCCAACCGCTGCAACGGCTCGTTACACTGATTCTCAGCAAAAATTTCATAAGAAGCATTGACGTGAACGCCTTCAATGTGACACCACATCTCCTCCACTTGGACCTCTCGTCCAATCAGCTGACAGTGCTGAACTCATCCATCTTCAGTGGGTTGAAAGAACTGAAGGAGTTGCTGTTGTTTGACAACCAGATTATTCAAATCGATCCGGGCGCCTTCAGGGACCTCTGCAACCTACAGAGGCTCTACCTCTCTACAAACAGGCTGTCAGTCTTCCCCCTAGTCATTTATGAAGAACCCGAGGGACCTCTAAATCTGACATTTCTAGACTTGTCATATAACAGACTGACTAAGGTGCCTGTCCAAAGCCTCCTGTACCTCACTCGCCAAAGAGGAATTTATTTGCAGGAAAACCCTTTAGTCTGTGACTGTGCGTTGCTTGCCTTGCTGGAGTATTGGATGTGGAAACAGTATCCCCCTCTACTGGATTTCAGAGGTGACTACCCATGTAAAAAAGGAGCAGAGTCAGGAGTTCGTTGTAAGGAGCATGAAATGTCAGATATGCCCCTTGAGACACAGATCTACCAAGTAGAGCCTGGTCAGTGGTTAAGAGTGCCATGCCCAGGGTTGACTTTGCCTGCTCAGGAGGGGCTTGTGGTGTTTTGGGTCACCCCTACAACGGTACTGAATTCCTCAAACAGTGATCTAAGTGCCCGCCTCGCAGTTCTTCCCAATGGCACCCTTGAAGTTCGAGAAGCGCTGACTGAAGATTCTGGAACATATGGGTGTGTCATACCCCGCGGACATAACTACAACCCCAGTCACTCTCTGGAGGTCACAGTGGTAGTTGGAAATTTAAGCATTACCTCCACCAGCGGTTCAGCGCATCGCAATAGTGCAGAAAATTTCAACACTGCATTTACCACACTGGCTTCTTGCGTGGTCAGCATCATATTGGTGCTCCTCTACCTCTACCTCACCCCCTGTCGGTGTCGGGATGGCCGCGGCGGAGACTCGAGAGGCTGCGGCGGACGAGCCATCACCCTGTGTTCAGACCCCAGAGATGTGGAGACAACACAGCAGCGGACAAATGGGAAGAAGGTGGTTTTCTTAGAGCCTCAGACCGAAGACTCTGACACTGGCTGCACCAAAATTGCAGCAGTTAACTTGAGTCATGTCACTTCTGAGGGCATTCTTAAAAATGGAAGTAGGACAGTGGGACAGCCCCTCACAGACCCCACTCACATGGCATAGCAAGAAAAAGAACCTTTTGCACATTTCTGTACAGCATGAACCCAAGTTTTTTTTTCTCGCTGTCTTTTTTCAGTACATCATGAAAAAATCCATTTGATGTGAGTACTGCACAGTGATTCTTGTGAAGTAGTTATGCACTGTGGGGTTTGGGTGTTTGGTCTAAAGCAGAAAATGCAATCCTTTTGTGGGCAGAATTTCAATTATGTCTCGACTGTAAGTGGTGTCTGTTTTTTTAATATTAAGAGTTCATATGGAAATTTCAGTGTTACCGCAGGAAATTGTTACAGCAAAGATCACAAAGATAGAAATGTGGGTGGGTTTTTTTATATTGGGCCGAGAGAAATATCCACACCTGATGTGATGAGCTGTTAGAGGCAGTGGCTGTTGGGTATTGTGCTTGCATTTTCAATGCATCATAACCATTCTTTTAGCATCTGTCTTGTACCGTGGGGCATATTGTCTTTGAAACATGCCAGTCATACTTGTGAATTTATCTTAATGTTGTTTAACAATGTTGTGCAGATGAATCTATGTCTGCCATTCACCTTTAAAATCTATATGAATCTGTAAAAATTTCTTCTTAGACTAAAATACACACAAAACCCATTGTTTTGCTATTGTTGCAGAAAAAAACACTTGATGAACTGTTACAGGGGTGGTTTACTTCAAGAAGAACACATTTCCAAAATACACCATGATGATATATAGTTGTTATTGTCATGGCTTTTGTAAATAAATGATGGATGTAGCTAAAAGTATGTCATTCGTAGATTTCTGGTCTGCCATTTTGGGGTGGGTGAAAAAAATCTATACGGCACAGAATCACGTGTATGTATTGATATAGGGACACCAAATATTGACATTTCCTTAAATGAATGAAAATCAATAAATATTGAATATATTAAATGTTCTGGGAATACTACTCTACCAACAAGAGGGCTCGTGTCCTTCAACACCATCCCAAGACAAAATTAGCCGAACAAACTTACAATAAATCCGTTCAACCAAAAAACCATCCAACATATAATTCTATAATTTCCAACTTGACTCCATTCAATTGAAGACTGAAAGCAAACTGACTCTGCATTATGGCAACATTTTCAGCAGGTTTTAGTGACATGTTTGTATGGTTGGCAATGAAATTTTGAAGCCAATAAAACAAAAAAACTGAAAAACAGACATGAGATAAATATCTTATTGGGTAAAACAGACATCGACAAAGTATAACTTTGAGGAGATAGCTTTTAGTTGGTGCCATTTTGACTGATTTCATTCTAAATTTTTTCTTTTTAAATTGAACATAATCAAACGTGGGGAAAGGGGTAGTGCTAACATTAGCAACAGCTATCTAGTATTATTTCGAAGATGTGCAATTCACTTTAAAATGAAATGCTAATTTTCTCTTGTAAAACACTGCCAGTGTAAAAATATACAGATGCTGATCAGGGCCAATGTGTATCATGTGTAGCTCTCAAGTATGCCTTAAATTAGGTCTTCAGTAAAACAATAACAAAGACAGAAATTAGCCATGAAGACAGGAACTGTTAAAAACTGGGTTTTAATCTGTTTCTGCTGCAAAGTTTGATATTTTAACATATCTGTAGGGACGGACTCGCTGAACCAAGACGTTCTCACTCCCAAAGCGTAGCATATTACGTTATGTGACAAATCGTCGGTATGTTAAGTTTTTAGCCACCCAACACGTTCCTATGTTACGAGGTTACTTTTCGCGTTCCCATGGGACGCCTCAAAACGTGACAAATTGTCGATATGTTACGCGTCAGGAATGAAAATGCTCTGCCTGAACTGACTCTCAAGTAGCCATTTAAGAAACTGCAGTTTTTGGTTCTTTGCCTCATTTTTTAACCCTGTAAGGTTCAGAGAACTCTGTCTTTGAGATTTCTCCCTACATATCCAGAAGCGCCTTGAGGCGACTTTTGTTGTGATTTGGCGCAATATAAATAAAATTGAACTGAATTGAATATCCGATGTGGACTGGATTTTGTTTTTGGTAGCTCGAAGCATATAAGCAACACAGTTTGAGTTACAGTGACAGCATTGCTGGTCTCCTGAGATCCATCCACAGGGCTTTGTTGTGTCTTTTGACTCATTGTTTTGGTGTTACAATTTGCAGCTTTAGTTTTTTTGGTTGACATTTACCGCAGTTATTGATCGTGTGTCCAGCAATCCATATTATGTTTATAGCAACATGAATATTTAATAAATGTATATAAAAGGTAAAAAACTACCAATCAGGACATGTTAAACTTTTTTTCAAACAATTGATATTTTATATTCAGGATCCATTTGTTCACCACTATTCCTAATTACCCACAAAAAAGAGAAAAAAAGAACATCCTATTTTTTTCTTTTTTCTTTTTTTTAAACAAAGTAATGAAATGAACGTTAAGTGAAAGTTTATCAAGTTAATCTTTCTACTAAGGCTAACTTTTGCGTCTTTTGCCTTTGTGATTACATATTCATTATTTTAACAGATCCAAGTTTGCAATAAAGTTGTTCCAATTTGCACATTTTTCAGAGAGATATAGAGATAACCACCTTTCACTTATAAGCTGCTGCTCTACACTGGTTAAAAGTGTGGTTGTATTACCACATTGCTGTCTGAAAAATAGTGTTAATTTATTTGAAATTATTACTTAGCAATAAAATTTACAGGCATATTCATGTGTCTATTGGCTTACTTGGGCTCAATCAATGTCCCCTGTTTTTCATCCGTTAAACTTTTGCAGGCAACAGGTCACTTGGGTTTAAAATCACTGAAACGAGTTGTTTAACACATTCTTGACACATGGCAGACCTAATGTTTATACTTGTGAGTGTGTACATCAGCACTGTGGATTTTAAATGAAACACTGAAGATGTGATTGAAGTGTAGACTTTGAGCTGTAATTCAAGGAGTTTTACCAAAACATTTTATTAATTAAGAAATAACAGCCATTTACAGAGGCTCAAAACTAATTGGAGGAACTACAATCATTTTAAATATAAGACTTGTTTTTAATACTTAGATGAAAATATTGTGCAGTCACCAAATCACCAAATGTTGTGTTTCCTCCCAAGGGATGCTCTGCCAGGCCTTTACTGCAGCTGCCTTCAATTGCTGTTTGCTTGTCTCTATCTTCTGTTTTGTATATAATAGCTGAAAAGCATGCTCCATTGTGTTGAGATCAGGTGATTAACGTGACCACTGAAGTGTATCCAATTTCTTGACAAACTCCTGTGTAGCTTTTGCACTGTGCTCTGGGTCATTCTCCATTTGCGAATCCTGAATTTGAGCAGAGAGTACAGCCATGTAAACCTCACAATTCATCAATAAACACCAGTAAAGTGGCTCCACTGACAGCAATACAGGCCCAAGGCATAACACTGCCTCCACCAGGTGGAACATAACAGATGGTGGTATGTTTCATACTCTCCATACTTTTCTTTTCTTTGGTTATTTTTGGTTTTATCAGTCCAAAGATTTTCTTGGCTCTTGTATATGTTTTCTGGCAAAGTCTAATCTGGCCTTCTTGTTCTTAGGTGTAACCACTGGTTTGCACCTTGTTATAACGTCTCAGGGTTTCCATTCAAGAAGTCATCTCCTGATTATAGACAGTGATATACCTACATCTTTGCGTACTTTCCTGACTTGGTTAGATGTTATGAAGTTGTTTTTTTCTCTTTTTTTCATTCAGGCCTTTTGGTGTTGGTGAGCTGCCCAGTGCATTCCTTCTTTTTAAGAAGATACCTGATTATTGATTGGCCATTTCAAATGTTTTTGCTATCCCTTGAAGAGATTTATTATGATTTTTCAGCCTAATAATGGACTCCTTCACTTGGATCAATATCTCAATATATTGATTGAGAGTTCAAATGAACAGCTACCAAATTCAAGTTCAACATTTGGAATTAACTCCAAATCTTTAATCTGCTTAATTTGTAATGAAATAAGCCATGCAACTCCTTGTCAGTCAATTGTCCATTTACTTTTAAGCATCCAAATATATGCACATGTTAAAATCCTTTAATTAAACCTGGAATTCTGCACTTCAGTTACTTTGTAATTGTTTGCTCTGGTAGTGATGTTCTTTGTGGATGTAGAGCGAAAAGAAAAGAAAAGAAAAGAAAAGAAAAGAAAAGAAAAGAAAAGAAAAGAAAAGAAAAAAAAGTGTCATTGTACAACTATTTATGGACTTGGCTGCATAAATAGCCACTACCTCATACTAAGTATGTGGCTGTTGAAATGCAAAATCAGCCTAATAATCGTTCAAGAGCTAGTGTCAGGGCTCTCACCATTTATACAAAAAAACTAATAATAATATTGATTACTTATAACCTTCCTCCCGCCCAAACACAGCTTGGATAGGATCCAGCCCCCCAATGACCCTGAAAAAGGATAAGCTGAAGCGAATGGATAGATGGATAATCACTTATATAAAATACCATCACACAGATATGACTAGAGGAATCAGACAAAATGTTTTGGTTGGTTGGTTTGGTTTCAGTTATGAAAACTACAGGAACTATATGTTGCCATGATTGAGCACCATATCAAAACACACTTCCCAAACGGAAGAACTATTTTGGACCTGAACTAGAGTTCTGGTCCAAACACACTGACCCAGAGCTGGTGTGACTGGGTTGGCAGCCTGGACACCAACTCAACTTGATCTCAGTCCATCCTTTAAAAAAATGGACTTGGTCAGCCTCCACCTTGTTACACTGACCTGCAGCTAAACAGATTCACTGAGGAACTGATCCTTATTGGTTCAGACAGGAACAGAGTTTGGGCTCTGCAAAGAAGCACACGCCAGCTCGGATCACTGTCACAGACATCAGAAGGAAGTTTGCCAATTCAACCCCGAGCCTACTGTGACCCAAATTCCACAGACTGTGTTTGTTTCATTTTTATAGGTATGTGGAAGTTTTTCAGTCTGTCAAGAAGGTTAAAGTTTGTTCAGGTACACACGTTAGCCTAGTGCTGTCTGCATATGAATTTTCTCTATTTTTTCAGTTTAATTGTGATTAAATGAAAAATATGTCGTCATTTAATTGTTAGTTGTGACTTTTGCTGAGTACATTGCCTAATTGTTAGTCTAAGCTTCAAATTGCTCTGCCTGCAGCATGTAGCTCAGCTGTGATTGGGTGCCTGTAACCATCACTACACAGCTGCAGTAGTGTTTACTGTCCAAAAGTCATTACATGGATATTCAAAAACAGGCAGGCTTAAAAAATACTTTACAAAGCTAGAATCACCAAGACAAAGGAAAAAGACAGCAAATCAGCAAAGTTGGTATGAAAACCTGATCCAGCATTAGCTGAGTCATCTCAAGTTTAGGACCTCGTACCAGTGGTCCATTTGTCCCAAAAGTCAGACATTGGTGCTGGGAGTAACATCACTTCTGAGTTTATCAAGTTCCAGCAGTAAAATCAGAATAACAAGAAAACAGGATTTGTTTTGCTCCTTAGCAACCTATAGCCATTCATGCAACTCTAGCAATACAGCACAGTGCTTGTTTTTTTGCGCATAATAACACAGCTGCAGCACATTCACGGGTAGAGCCTGGTCATTGCTCTGTGTATGGCTTATTTAACCAGTCACAAATATACAGCAGTGGCAGTACTGAATACAAGTTTTATAGTTTTACTGATGTTTACATGTACTGCAGCTGGTTTGGCATTCCGAGTTGGAAGTCTGACTTGAGGCAGAACTTAGAAATTATGACTTTAAACACACCATAATTCTTTCTACCAGATTCATCCTGGTCTTTTCAATAAGATGATCCTGATAACAAGACCTTGTGCATATTTATCTAAATAAACACGCTCATCTATTCAGGTTCATAACATATTCTTTTGCAAAGACAGGGACACTGCTTTGGACTAACACATTTTCCTATTTTCTATAGAACCCATCCATAAGTGGTGTTATTTCAGTTTAGTCTGAATATATTTTAATTATGTTTTGTGTTCCTGCGAGTCCACTAGGTTCCACTCGGGTATGAGTAATGATAAATTTAAATGGAAAGATATATGTGTCTGTTTTTGTGACCATGCGGACTTGTCTGCAGAGAATTTATATTGCAGTGAATGAACCACACATGCACCCCAGATGGCCGACTACAGGAATAAATACTCATCTGTAGTGCCTATGTCTGTGTCTGCACTAGAGTATAGGCTAGGCTTTTGCATCATTATTTTTTCTTTAATTGGGTAATAAGAAATTTTAAGGTTTCACAAAAATGAAAAATGTTTGCTAAAGATAAAATCAGTTGAAGACAATGTGTCCAAGCAGGACCTCACTTCAGCTACAGTATTAGCTGAACCAAAACTTTGGCTCAATTGAGTTGAAGTGTTCTCCCTGTTCCATGAATGAAAGAGAGATTTATATGTTTCACTGTTACTTTGTCATGAGTACAAAGAGGCAGTTTGGGTGAAAAATAAAAAGTAGTGTTACATCAGAAGGATTTAGGGATGACCAATGACCTCTTAGTGAGTCAACAAATCGCCTTTTCAGAAATCCTCTTACAGTACAAGCGCTTTCTGTGGCTGCTAGGAAAGATAGAAAAACCTCTTTAAACCTTTTTTTTTTGTCTTTTGTGCTTTATTTTTTAAAAGACACTTGATGGCATCCAGCGTTAAATGCAGTAAGAAAGTAGGTAAGGATCTTTTATAGCAGTTTCATGATTTCTTAAGTGAGATACCAGTGGCAGTCGTTGAACTGGGGGCTTGGGTTGGAATAGAGATGGTAAATGGTCACTTCAATGAAACGTTGTGATAAGGTGTTATGATCTTGCATGACTGGATTTTGACTCTTCTAGATACAGGGCTATAATTTTTATAAATAAATGCATCTACACATTTATATCATGTACAGCTCACTGAACATCTTATTAGAAACACCATGCTAATAATGAGTTGAGTTTCCTTTTGCTCTGAATATAGCCCCAGTTCTTGGTTT